AGTATAATAGATGAATGGTAGGTAGATTAATTAATATTTTGGCTGGTTCAACAGCACAAACTATCTTAGCGTAACTGTGCTCGAAAAGCTGGAATTATAGGTTATGTCAATAAATAAAATATTCAAGTCATCGAACTTTAAGTCAATACGAACTTTGACCGGGAAATAAAGAAATTCGTTTACATCTTTGTCATTGGACGCAAGAAAAGTTGAATAATGCTGAATATTTTTCTGAAAATAGGTAACATGTTTCAGATGAAAGTACATTTTTAAGACATGACCAGATATGTAAACATTGAAATTATTGTTAGTCACTGATGATATGAATTATTCCATTCCATATGGTTATTTTCCGTACCACGTAAGTGACATAGGGACTATGGACTATGATGGAGGTATAGTCAACACAATGATAAAATAAATTTGCCGTGTGCATCAGTGGCGGATTTAAGGGGGGGCCCGGAGGGCCCCCCCCCATTGGCATAAGTTAGGTTTTATTATTTTTTATWATTCATTTTTATAATTTTATCTTTTATATTGTTTCACTCAAACACATTATATTATAATTTAAGAAATATTATCATTATATATTTATATTATTATTATATTATCATTATATAAGAAATTTTCCCAAACATATTACTATTACTTTTATTATGCGCCTTAACGCAGACGGCAGACCGGCTATTTTTGCCATGTAACGTTCCTACTGGCCATCGCTATCTTATCTTATTTTATTTGTCACACGATTCTCACTTACCTATCCATTTCTATATTGCTATTATCGTTTTAAAATGTTTGTAATTTTACAGTCGTCGTGTCACTCGTGTGTAATTCGTATTTCATGCTGTTGTCCGTAGTGTTTATATACTATGGGCCCCCCCCCACATTAAATCCTGGATCCGCCTCTGGTGTGCATTATTTGATACAAAAGTCATAGGTATGTAATAACAATAATGTTTTTAATTAGGGTAAGATGTAAAATATACCAGTATAGCTTATAGTATGAGGATTGCCAAAAATAACAGATTTATTCAAAGGATTGACATTTAATGACCTACCTCGGCTACCTCTGCAGCAACACTGATTCGGACAATGGAAAACTCGTATATTATACAGCAATGTGCCGATAGGGATGGCCGGGAAGGGGAGTATATAGGAAATAATAGTTAAATTGTAATATTATTGAAAAACTTAAACTAATTACTAATTACTAATCAATCCTTTTTTTCTATATGCGTCATATAATATGCGTATTTTTTTTATGTAGACATTTGAACATTCAAACTCAAATTTTAATGAAATAATAGTTATATTTTAGTTATTTTGATGTACATTTTTAATTCTAAAAAATTATTCATAAGGACTTAAAACTTTTCACCGTTACATACAATGGATATAGGTATATGATACATCTATATTCTATATACACAATTAAAAACTTTATTTTTTATGACGAAATTATTCATACGTCTGTTATACGTTTGTGAATTGTAATGATTTATCTATACAGTAATACGTTAATAACAGCTATTGTAGGTATCTAATTAAATACATATATTGATATATATGCATATTTTGTTATCATATATTCAAATCAGGCATTTTACTAAATGCATATGCAAATTGTCAAAGAATTTAATTTTTATGTAATTTTACTGTTTATTTAGATATTTAACTAGATGTATTCTCAATTAATCAAATGCCCAAGTACTAGGTGCTAAACTAAATGCCTATTTCAAGTCAAGCAAATAATATAACTAAAACGTTTTTTTACCAAATTAAAAATTATATTATATTTTCTATTATTTATTTCTTATGTTTAAAGTAATTAACGAAAATAATACAATTATTATAACAAATTAAATTATATATAAGTTTTTGTTAATATTCCTAGTTAGTTTTTTTTTTTTAAGAAATTATAGATTATAAATTAAGTAAACCCTGAGTTCCTTTACAAGTGATCTCTTGTGAGCTAGGTAGGGTTTTTGCTTTTTTGGTATACTATTTTACGGTTTTCAGATTTTTAGATTGCCTATATTAGGTATCGATATTATTACGGTATTCTGGTATTTACTTGTATGGTGATATAAGAGCCGACCTTATAAGCAGAAGCTAGAGCGGCCCTTGCCATAGCCATGCCTAAATCGTGGCTCAAATATTTTTATTTGTTCGTAACTATTCGAGTCTTGGCATTTTTATGTTTCTACAGCTATTTAACCATACACGTATGCGGTATGCTATTAGAATTTAAAGTGCAAATTACGAATTAAACTTGACTAATATTTAATAAACCAGACGACGAGTAAACGAACTACATAATCATAATTATTATTCATAGGCATAGATAATATTATACTCTATAATACGATTTTCAATACTAATGTATATTTTATAAAAGTTGCATATCTATATTTCATATTAACATACATAATTTAAGGACATTCTAACATAATCAATAAGGTTATACCTTACCTAGTAAGTAATCTTAAATAATTTTACGTCTTGATAAGCTTAAATTTCAATRTCAGAAATTTGTAATTCAGTTTCCACAAGGAATGCGTATGAATTTTTTTTAGATGGCCTAAAATATAAATGAACATATTATATTATCATCAACAGATTATCTTTTTAAATTATTATTATATGAGGATGATTCTGTAATAAAAAAAA